AATTAATGTGTACTATGCATATTAAGTCAGAAGTGCCAAACAAAACTATTAAACCATGTTTGGTTGTGGCTGTTAAAAATGTTCTTCGAGAAACATTATGCTTTGCCACTATTACTTACCTTGTCTGTGGCCCACTTTTCAAAATTTCTTAGCTGACAAAATTAGTGATCAAGCAATTTTGCTCAAAATGTTTACTGAACTTTCGCCTCTTAAATGTTGAATCTTACTTGTTCTCAATTTTGCTAGGCTAAAATACATGAGAAAATGGAAAAACTGTGTTCAACAACTAAAGGGGTCTGTGACTTAGAAACATACCATCATGCAGCAGAACCCAAGGCACCGTTATTTCACACATGGCCTGTTTCTCATTTCCGTAAGTAAATCTGTCTTTTTGATGAGGACAATTTATTTGAAAATTATAACAATGAATTGTTATAAATGACATTTATATATTTCTTTATGCTCAACGCAAAAAACAAATGTCCAAATCGCCTTCTGGTTAGCTTCATTGAATGATTCTTGGTTGTATTTTGAAAGAGATAGAAAAAAAATCTCTTCCTGCCAACTTTTCTATATCATGTACAGTTTTATATCTATCTCCTCCCTCTCATTTGTTTTATTCCAAGCTAAAGAATCTGAAACATTCTAGCCCTTTCCTTGCAGAAAATGTTCTATACTTTATTCATTTTGCGCTCTTCACTTTTTTCAGTTTTAATATATTGTCGTCATACAGTTGGAAGATACCTTGGAAGTCATCTAATCCAGCCTATTACCCAATGCAGGAATTCTTACACCATTCCAGATAAATGGCAGTTCAGTCTTTTCTTGAATACCTCCAGTGATGGAGCACCCAAGCTGTTCCATTCCTATGGCTCTCACAATCAGGAAATTCCTCCTTATTTCTACTGGTGATCTTTCTCTCTGTTAAGGTTATAGAACCTTAACCTATTTGTTTTTGTCTTACTTCAGGTGCTAAGGGGAATAAATCCAGTTCTTTTCATTGTGCTTTGTAGAACTTAGCAACTTTGTTCCTGTTCTTTGCACTCTTATCAGCTCCTTAGCATCTTTTTTTATTGTGGCAATGAGAACTGGATATAGAATACCTAGTATATGTGACCAGTACAGCATAGTGTCGTATTATCACTTCCCATTATCTTGGCATTATATTTTGTTAATTCAGCCCAAAACTGCATTTGTTCTTTTGGCACATTGCTGGTCCATTCTTAATCTCGTCTGTCAGAACTCCCAAACTCTTATTGCAAACATTAATAATAAGCCAGGTGTTTCCTATCTTGTAAATGTGCATCTGATTTTTCCTGCATCTGAGTGTCTAATTGTCTAGCTACCGAACAATATTTTTGTTAGGTAGGGCCTACTGTTCTGAGCTATCAATATCTTTTTAAAGCAGTCCCCCCACACACATCAGTTTTGTGTTATTTGCCAATGTTATGAATGTATCTCTTCTATTTCCTCGCCTAGTTATTATAAAGATGTTGAATATCTTTTTTTTTTAAATGCCAACCAGTCCAGAACTGTACTTACAGTTCTAGAATCAGGCATGTCATAAATTTTTTAAGAACCTTACAGTGTTGGCATTTTAAATCTCAGTCCTTTTTCTTTTGACCCTTAGAGCAGAATTTGGTTTTGTTTTTTTTCAACTACAGACAGATGCTGTCTGTGTTTTATACAATACAATACAATACAATAGCAGAGTTGGAAGGGACCTTAGAGGTCTTCTAGTCCAACCTCCTGCCTAGGCAGGAAACCCTATACTATTTCAAACAAATGGCTATCCAACATCTTCTTAAAGACTTGCAGTGTTAGGGCATTCACACCTTCTGGTGGCAAGCTGTTCCACTGATTAATTGATCTAACTGTCAGGAAATTTCTCCTCAGTTCTAAGTTGCTTCTCTCCTTGATTAGTTTCCACCCATTGCTTCTTGTTCTACCCTCAGGTGCCTTGGAAAATAGTTTGACTCCCTCTTCTTTGTGGCAACCCCTGAGATATGGAACACTGCTATCATGTCTCCCCCAGTCCTTCTTTCTCTTAAACTAAACATACCCAGTTCCTGCAACCCTTTTTCATATGTTTTAGTCCCCTAATCATCTTTGTTGCTCTTCTCTGCACTCTTTCCAGAATCTCCACATCTTTTCTACATCGTGGCGACCAGAACTGAATGCATTTTGTCCCACTGTACATCACTTTACACTTACTTAGATTTAACTAGTTAAACTGAAGCCATTTGATTGACCGATTGTGCTTTTAAAGGAATCCTTCTGGAACTGTTCACAATGATTTTCAATTTTTACCACTCTAAATACTTTACACTGTAATCTATCCGTAACCAAGATTAGAAACATTAGTGTCAATGCAGTTCAACAAGGGATTGCACTTCTTGTATCGATCCCTTTTGAGGCAATTGACATTTATTTCTGTTTTTATTTCTGTTTTTTAATTAGTAATAGTAGCCCAATGTGCTTAAGACAGGATCTGATGATTTTTAACTAGTTAGCAATCCATTAAACCAAAGACCTTCTTATCATCTTAACTCTGCTGAGTTCACTGATAAGTAACTTTGCCAAAGGCTGTTGAAAATCCAAGTAAGCAGCATTAACAAGCTCCATCTATCTACTTTTTGATCCCAAAAAATTCAGGAGTGGTGATGAAACAGGATTTAGTTCTGCATCTCATTATGATTTTCCTTATTTATTCCAAATCATCTTTGGGTCATGTTTTAAAAGTGGTATCTCATTATAGCAAGCCACAGAGATACCCCTTGGAGAGAATATGGAGAAACCATTACAAAAACAAAAGCCCTGGGAAGAGAAAGCATAAGAAATTAATTTGGAATAAGTTCTATCTTAGTTCACCTAGATATAACAGATAGAAGGAAAAGCATAGTCAGGTTTTTGAAGTAATTTCACTGTAGTTTATGTCAATAAAATAAATAAAATATATTTCCAGTGAAATTTGTAGAGCCTATTTCCTGGCTTGGCTTTCTTTGAAGGTTTGACATGCCCTAACTACTTTTTGCTCCTTATAGCTCTGTCTGATCTGAGGGGGCAAATTAAATATTCTTGGTTGGAAATCTGCAATTTCATTTTTAAGTTTAAAAAATCCCTAGTCTCTGCTATCAGAACTCAGTGATTTTTCTGCTCCTGCTACTGCTCCTTTCTACTTGCTGAGAAAGTAAATTCAGGTTCAGTTATCTACTTACGTCTTGTGGAATAAGGTCACTTAAAGAGCAAAGAACTAATTTATATTTTTATATCATAATATCCTCCTTAAATTTCCTTCTTAATTGTCTAATATCCTAACTGTGACTAAATGATTTGCTAATCTCTGATGAGCAAGTAAATACATTCAGACGTGTTGCAGTTTAGTTCTGTAGGGAGAATATTTCATCTGACTGCAGTTTTCAAGTTTCTATATTATAAATTGAGATGGATGCAGTTTAAGCCAAAGTTATCAATTATATAAAACCTTGCACAAAACTTCAGAAGTTATAGTTTTTCTATCCAATAATTAATACTGAAATGTTTTATACTAAACTCTTTTATGTATTGAGCTGAATATCTAGTAAATTCATAGGCATATCCACACTGTTTTCTTGGCAGTAATAAGATTCAAGTGCTAATAAGGTCTGATCTACTTAGATTCCAGGATCAGCCAAATTTTATGCAAGTACTATGTCGCAGTATGCTGAGAAATGTGTCAGAAAAATAGGTTATAAAACATAATGCCATTTTTTAAATTCCTTTTTCAGATGAAGTCTCAGTCAAGCTCTTAGATATGTATTCACAAGAACTGAAACTCAAGCACACCATTGTGGAAGAAATTGCTCATACAGCTGACCAAGATCTACAGATGGTCTATTTATCATCATGGTTACATCAGCCCTACATTGACAATAGCAACATAGTTCTGTTAGAAAGTATGTTGTTAGAAACAGGGCATAGACAGCTATAATGTTACCTATTTCTTTGATATATCACCTTAAATTTAAATCTTTAGGTTTAGCAAGATATATAGTGCTAATATTGTTATGGATTTATGATAATATTACAGCTTATTTATAATAAAGTTTTTTTATGATTTATACCCCTTTTTGTTCCATATTATACCACAAAGTACAATTCTTGTAAATAATTCAACAATTCAAGAACCATACTGCATATACTTTCCCTAACTTGTTTAGGATTGCTATTATGTGGGATGATACATTACAGCACACTTATCCACACCACTGTGTGGATTATTCCATGTTATTTTTTTAAGGAGCTGTTGCTTAGACTTTTGCCCAGGTTCTAAAAGGCCATGTACATAACATGCTAAACTCAGCTATATCTTATTAAGAGGCATAATAAGCTAGCTCCTCTTCAATCAGGCATGGGTAACAAAATGCAGAAATCTTCCTCATAGCTATTTAATATTCAGTGCAATTAAGGAATCCTGACTTGTTCCAGAAACAAGCTAAGTCCATCATTACCCAATATATTTTTAAAAAAACACTTCTCATATTTCCCGTTTCTCGGAAAAATGGATATGGACATGTTATGCATCAAGAAGCCAAAAGATGTGTCATTAAGTGCAAATGTAGTCTGTCTCTCTCAGTGCATATGCCTTCCAAACTTCACCAAACATTTGGTGAATTTAGGCTTTAAAATTCTCATATGGCATGAGACATAAATTCAATGATTTCATAATATTTCTTTTATATCATACTCTGTTGAACTCTTCACTCTAGGTGTTATAGATTCAAAGTGTTTTCATAGTAACTTCGATTAGGGAAAATCAACAATATATTTTACAATTGGAGGAGAACTGGTAGCAGAAATTTTGAGTAGTTTGGAGAACCAGTAAATACCACCTCTGACTGGCCCCGCCCCCATCTATTCTCTGCCTCCCGAGTCCCAGTTGATCAGGATGTCATGGGGATTTTGCAGTAACCTTCCCCTGGAGTGGGGAGGGAATTGAGATTTTACATTATCCTTCCCCTGGAGTGGGATTGGATGGAGATTTTACAGTATCCTTCCCCTGCCACACCCACCAAGCCATGCCCACACCCACCACTGTCTAATAATAGATACCTTTAAAATGATTCAATATCAGGAACAATCTGTAGGCACTTTAAATCTCAAATAAAGCTCTTCTATATTTTAAAAAAGTAAAATTAAATTGGAAATCAGATAGAAACAGAAATCTGTAAAGCACTGGGTTTTTCAAAGTTTATTCGGGATAGCATACACACTAATTTAAATGTTCAAAGGAATTCTGGCAGCTGTCCTTAATTTTATACAGTACTATAGGTAGTCAAGCATTAATATATCCATAGCAATTGGTGCAATATATTTGTCTCTTAGGAGAAATTCATTTTCTGTTAACTCCCTATAGTACCACTGATTAAGCATTGTGTTTTAAGTACTGCTAGCTTTCCTGCAGATTTGACTCATTCAGCCATTGTGAGAGTATTGACTTTTAGGAAGCCAATACATCTCTTATGCAGACAAAGGCGTATGCAAGTAGGGACAAAGTGACAAAAGTGTGTTGTGATATGATCCAAACTCTGTAAGTTATGTAATTGTGGGCAATATGGCAATGTAAGTACAAAAGCGTAAAACTTGCATGGTAGCACTCCAATGCAAGTTTTATCATTTTGGTGTCATGGTTAGAAAAAGACAACCTGTCCTGAATACCTGAAGAGAAGACAATATTATTAGAGCCAGATTAGCAAAACTACCAGTCTGGGGAGGTAACACTTAAACCTGAATATTTTTAGAACTTGTACTATATCTTAATTATGGTCAAGCTTGTGGAAATCAAAACAAATTCATGTTTAATATACATTTCAGGTAGACTTTCAGAACTCTTTCAAAAATATTTTTATGATGGTTTAATTTTAGTATCTGTTAAAAGTGCTGCAACTGCCAAAAGAATTTGTATAATGTACATAGCACCAGCAAATTCTGTTACAAACAGATGTATAATGTATAGCACCAGGAAGAAGCAAAGCCTATATACCCCCAAGAAAAGTTCCCAGTTTCCATAATCTTCAATATTATCATGTTGTACTTAGTACATTCTCTTCTTTTCTTCCACTAAAATACTATTAAATTGATTAATCATATATTTTCAAGGAAGGATGAAGCTGGAATTTTCACTTTCCTGAGATCTAAACTGATGAATTACTCATGTGATGTTTAATACTGTTGAAATTATTAAAGTTTTAAGAAAGTTCAGAATTTGTTAACAGCATTTTTCTTAAGTTCTTGATATATTTTATTTTTACTGTTTTTTCATGAAGAAAACCAAGGAGAATGATGACTGTATTTTCCAGGTGTTTCAAGAGATATAATAAATGTCATTTACTGTGTCCTAACTTGAATTTATCTTTGTTCTTCTTGTGAACATCCTCTATGGTCAGTTGGGTATCTCATATAATGTAATCCTGGTGTATTTAAAGGCTGTAAATGTTCAATTTTTCTTGAGTGTTGATCACATAAATCTGTATTAGCTTTATCATCCACAATTCTTGGTTGGAGCAATTCATATTATTATTTTTTTCAATATTATTTTTGCAGAACAATTTTTGCTGTACATTTCTAAAACTTAAGAAAACACAGAAAAATGATGTAATTTAAAGCACATTTTAAAGAATAACCTATATAGCTTTTTGAATATAGAATACTGCAAGATTAGATTTCTTTCACTATGCATAAAATTTGGTATTTTTATTGAAAACCTTGAATGTTTGCCAAGGTGAAAAAGGTGTGTAAAATAAATTGTAAATAGCAATAGCAGTAGACTTATATACCGCTTCATAGGCCTTTCAGGCCTCTCTAAGCGGTTTACAGAGAGTCAGCATATTGCCCCCAACAATCTGGGTCCTCATTTTACCCACCTCGGAAGGATGGAAGGCTGAGTCAACCCTGAGCCGGTGAGATTTGAACCGCTGACCTGCTGATCTAGCAGTAGCCTGCAGTGCTGCATTTAACCACTGCGCCACCTTGGCTCTAAATGCATGAAGCAGCAATTGTACAATCTTAAAGTTGTACTAAGCTTTTGGCTCTGGGAGTGAAAAAAGTTTGCCAAAACATGGCAGGCTTCATATGGTATTTCCAGCACCTCTGCACATGTTTCCATTTCTTCATTTAGAAATATCTGTAATTTGCCCTCAAACTGCCCTCCTAGGAATCTTTGCACTTGGTTTTGTCATAGTGCTAAAACATGAAATGTGTTTTCATTTCCTCTATATTCCACTTTGCCTGATTGAATTCTATTCTCTAGAGGCCACGGGTCTTGATGAATGGCTTCTCATATAAGGGGTTTCAATTTGGAATGGAAATCCCCATCTATTCTCAAACCCATGAATAAGCAACTGAAGACTATTTTCCAATAGGAAAGTAGAGATAGGCAAGTAATAAATGGAGAAATTGAACAACGTATTTCCATATAGGAGGGGGGGGGGAATCACTTGGGCAACTTTCTAGTGCCCCATCCATTTCCTGCAGCTGATTCTATTGTTAATATTGATGGTACCTCTTCCATGTGAAAGCCCTAGGCAATTGTTCCATTCTCTATCAAGAAACCTGGTAAAAATTACATTTTAAAAATCTTCTGCAACAAAACAGCACTCAGTAATAAACCATGAATTTAAAACATAGCTGTTTATTATATTTAAAACATTTATGTAGCTGCCCATCTTTTAATCAACTCTGTGAGGCTCCCAATTAAAAAGCTATACTAGCTTTCAGTCAAATCAAACCTTTCTATCATTTAGTGACCATATCCAGTTACAATGGTGATGAAGCATTGATGACTTTCACAAAACTGTAGAGCAAGGAAAGATGAAGTAAAGCCATAAGCACAATCACACTTTCACTTAGCAATTGTTTAACCACAGTTGCCAATTGCAATTGGGGTTGCTAAATGAAGATTTTGCAAAAGTTAAATATTTTGTACTCTAGCTGCAATACATACATGTTGGACTACAATTGCCAATAGCTGCATCTAAAATGGTTAATGGCAGGAATTAGGATAACTAATCCAAAGCAAGAGATTATTCACACCCTTCTCATTCAAAGGAAACACTCTAATACTAATTCTATTATTAAGAGAACATTAGGGAGCAATGCTGTGTAATAAAATATTATAACCTATTGATTATAGGCAAAGTTCCAATTTTGCAAAAAGAGAAACGATTTTCAACCCATTGCTAAAACTTAGCAGAAGATAGATTTATAACAAATAAAAGCATCCTATTATGCTTATAATGTTGCAAAATAAATACATGTTACTATGACAAAATTCACTTATTTTATACCTCAGCTGCTCGTTTCTGTCCTGAAATATGGAGCAATATAGGCTGATCAGTAGATTCAGTACATTCAGGAAAAGAATTTGTCTGGATTTTTGGCACTTCAAGATAACAATCTGTAATTCCTAGTGATTCAGCTACCTGTTAAACCCAAAAAAGAAAAACTTCACTGAAAGTGCCATTTGTAGAAAATAGCTATATCGTTCGATATAGTAATCATGAAAAGCGATCAAGGATTTGCTCTGTATTTTGCATTTCTGTTTGTTACATGCTAAAGATTTCACACTTTTTCTAAAATCTAATGCAATTATTTACTCAGGGCTTATCAAGAATCTTATTAATAAAGGAAAATCCAAATTGAGTAATTAAATATGTTGTAATATCAGCTTCACTCATTAAAAAACTTTGCCAACCACATTGCTCGTATTTTCAATTATCATTTCAATGAACCACATTACTAGTATTTGCATTGTTTTCTTTTTTAAGGAAATGCAGTATCCACTTTATCTGCATATAATTTGACTGAGAAAGCTTTTGCTAACAAAAAAATCTGAATTATTCTTACCTTATGGTTTTTTATTTCTAATGGTTGCTTTAATTCAGAATTATTAAAATAATCTTGACACATTTTCTTTACCATTGCATGGAGCTCTTCAAACTCCCGGTAAATATCTGGAAAGGTTGCTTTTGTTTGACATCTTTTCTCTGCCTGATCAAAAACAAAAGCTATATAAAAGTATAAGCAAGCTCACAAATAAAAATTGTACATTTCATTTACAATCTTTTATTTCTTTTCCATTTCTGTTATGATGGAACTGGCTTCAACTGATTACACATATATACTGCACTTTTCCTAATACTATTCAGCAGACTCTTTGAATCTTTCCTTGAAAATCCCATTTTCTCTTAGGCAATATCATATTTGCCTTGCTGACATTAGATCAAATTCTTCCAGCTTACTAGAAAATATGGTTTTGTGCAGAAGTGTGTTACAAATCCCGGTGCTACTGGTTCGCATGCGCAGAAGTGTCCGGGCGTAGCCTTCCACCGCTGATTTTCCCGATCGGGCCAAACCGGGAGCAACCCACCTCTGGTTTTGTGTAAAATACCAACTTTCAAAGACTTGCCTTCATCAGGAGGAATTCAAATACAGTAACAACTGTTGTCATACGTGGAACTACCAGCTCCATAAACTCTTCATTGGTGCACTGCTGAATCAGCTGTTAAAGAACATAATTTATTTAGAAATGTCATAAAGTATTCTTAATATGTAGATAAATAGGAATAAGTAATAATATAAAGGAACAATACCTCTTTTAGCTTTTCTTTTCTTTTAAATCTACTAAGATGCTCTGCTGAGATACTAAGAGAATTGGAAGATAATTGACCAAGGCTGTTAAATGTTGTAGAACATCTTGATCTATTAGCCATCTTTGGTTGATATGACCTTCTCTGCCGCTTTCTTCTTCCAGGTCCCAAATGGGTGCTGTATGCTTCAGATTTTCTATCTTCTGCAGAAATTTCAGACTTCAAAAAAAAAAAAACTTCATTAGAATTATTTAAAATGTTTTGGTTTTATATATTCATCAATAAATTTGGAATTATAATAACAAATCTACATTTTCACCATATAAAGGTAGTTAAAACCTCTCAAAAATAGCAAATGCATTTTTGAAACAAAAAAAATGACGATATGGATTAAAAAATGTTGACACATGTAGTATTGCAAAAAGCAAAAATGTGGTGAGAGGGAGTAAACTTACAAACTTTTTCAAATTATGAAGTGGTAATCTGTATATTTTTATTTCATATTTTACATTCAAGATGATTATGAAAGCAACAGCCATCAATGTTTCCTGCCGCACTACACAGAATGAGTATTATTCCTTTCTTGTCATGCTTCCTAATTTTAGATTAGAATAATTTATGCCCTTGTGTATGTTAAATAAGCTATAAATAACAGCATTTATTGCCTGAAAGTGAGGAAGACTGGAGGAATCTGATGAAGATGAAAGAACAATTGCTGATCTGCTGGTCAGCATTTAAAAAAAGAAACAAGATGTCCTGCTCTTTGTAAAATTGAGATTAAATATGTGAACATAAACGGTGGCAGCAAAGGAAAAATTGTGTTACTAGGCAAAGCCAGCCCAGTACAAATAGGCTGAGAGGTAAATTGTAACAGACTTTGCCATTGGGAGAAAAGATTATGAAAATAGCTCTAGACAAAATATTGAAGTGCAGAAATATAACCCTGACAACAAAGGTATTATCAAGACTATGGTTAACATATGACAGCTAGACCATTAGCATGCCTAAAAGAATAAAAATGCATCTTTGAATTAAGATGCTGAAATAAATTGTCAAGAATTGCTTTGGCCACAACAAAAGTAATAATTAAATATTAGATGAAATAAAATGAAAATTTCATTGGAAACATGAAGCTTTAAGCATGAAGCTAAAATTTAAATGTTCTGAGTGCATAATGACTTGTTGGAAAAGTCATTGATGCTTAACAAAACTGAAGACAATTAAACTAGTCAACAGAAGACAAAAAAGCTATACAGGTAATCCTGGACCAGTCATTTAGCAACTCTTCAAAGTAAAGCAATTCTGGCTTTCATAAAAGCTTTCATAAAAGCGCATTGCTGTGCTTGACAGCTGACTTGCATTTATGACCAGTTGCCAAGTGGCCCACAATCATGTGATTGCTTTTTGCAATCTTCTCTGCCAGCTTCTCTAGAAATTCAATGGAGAAGCCAGTAAGTTATAAGCAGAGGGGATGAGGAATTAGAGGTCTATTCCTGCAGTGCACCAGGAGATTTCCCCTCCTCTTCATGCAGCAAGGAGAAGTCCCTTGGTGATCTTCAGGAACAGACCTCAAACCTTCAGAATCTGAGGTCTCTTCCATCAGGGCACCAGGGGATTTTGTCTCCTTTCTAGGGATAGAAATCTAGCAAACATCACTGTTCTGAAGGTTAGAAAGATATAGAAAAGCAAGCTGCTTGCAGTTAAAAAAATTGAGTTACAAAGATATGGAGATGCTTAGAAAGGTACGGCAAATGAGGGCTGCTTGTAGGATGGCGTAAGAGGGCTTTGGTAGGAAGATCATGCCTTGTATCAGCTGGATGCATCTGCAATTAAAGAAAAAGGCAGGGCTAAGTGGACCTGGGTATGGTGGGCAGAGCACCCTTCACCCAGGCACTCCATTTAACAACCTGCATACTCACTTAACAAGAGCTCTTCCCGTTGCGGTTGTTAAGAGTATTCCTTTACTCTGAACAGTTGCTAAACGACTGGTCATAAGTCCAGGACTACTTGAATAGCTACTTTGTCTTCTGTTGACTTGTTTAATTGCCTTTGGTTTTGCAAACTTCAGGGACTTTTGCAACAAGTCATTTTGCACTCAGAACATTTACACTTTAGTTTTGTGGTTAATCTTCCAATGAACATTTAATTTTGTTTCATCTATTATTTAATTATACATTTTATTATGGCTGAAAGGATTCTTGACAATTTCCTCTAACATCTTAGTTCAAAGACATGCATTTTTAGTTATTCAGGCATGCTAGACCCAGGATTACCTATACACTATAGTTGACAACACTCATGAGATTATATAACACAAAGAAGCAGCTGTTGATAAACAATCCTGGTAAATTATGTTAAGTCATGAAGAGCTGCATGTGATCGAACCATCAAACAACCACAATAAGTAACATTGGGTGGTTTTTTAAATTATTTTTTATCCCACTTTATTATTTCTATAAATAACCCTATAAGGTGAGTTGGGCTGAGAAAAAGTGACAGATCCAAATCACCCCGCCTATTTTCATGCCTAAAACTGGACTAGAACTGTCAGTCTCCTTGTTTCTTACCTGGTGCCCTAATTGGCTAATCTTCAAGGACTAGCTGTTTAGCTACTAAGTTTTCTGTTGGAGATCCAGCTCAGGAAGAGGAAATTTAAATTATGATTTAAACTTATCCTATGTCTACAGTTTGAGTTGATACCAAGTGGATGGTTAATATAACTCTGAATCATATAGGATGTATTCATGATATGATTGTGCTTCCTGGTCATATTCCTAGTATTTGGATTTTGGGCATCAAGATTTGTACTTTTGGAGCACAACATTTGGCACACAAAAAAGAAGCAATCTAGGTGTGATTTGCAGCAATCGATTGTTAATATTCAGGGGTTTTTTTTGTTTTGTTTTGACAAAACACCCTCAGTGTTTTGGAGGAATTTCAACACAGGAGGAATACTTGTGCTCTCTGAGCTTGGTTGGTTTCTTGCAGACATTTCATTACTCAAACTGGATAACATCACTAGTACAACATCACTAGCACGGATGATGTTACCTAGTTCTGGAAATGACACATCTACAAGAAAACAACCAAGCTCAGAGAGCACAAGGACCCATTTCAAGCCTGAGCTACAAATATTCTCCTTCATTGACAATTTCAACAAATAGTCATTTTCCTATGAATGAAGGAGAATATACATGTCTCAGGATAATGTTTCAGGATCCAACCTGGGTCGATCACCAAGACCAAGGGTTTGCCTTCCGAGCTTTCAGATTCATGTTGGAGCCTATCTTCAGGGAACTTCTCTCTAGCTAAATGAGCTGAAGATGGCCTCCAGAAGGCGGGCTAGAGAGAAGTTCCCTAAAGATGAGTTCCAGCACAAGTCCGAAAGCTCGGAAAGCAAAACCTCTGATCCCAGTGCCTGACCCAGATTGGATCCTGCAAGTCATTTTTCTTAGAATTCTTATATTTATAATTAGACTCCTTCCCCCTCCTTTTATCTGTATGATTATTTTGCAATTATATTATTTTATTAATTTCTTGCAACGATTCTTCCCTTTTATTAATTGCTTTAGAAGATCTTTTTTAAATATTGGCTGGGATATCACTCTTAAACACCAGCAGTAGCACCAGATTACAGCTCATTCTCTTTAAATGTATTAACAAAGAATATGTATTACCTGATGTTCATTTTCTGTTTGAAGATTTTTTTCCAATTCTGCAGCTAGTCCATTTTTGCTTACTAAAGCAAGAGTAATTGGTAAAGGTGAAGAAGGTTGATGGTTGCTTTCACAATTTGCCTTTTCAGCGCACTCCAGCTGTGTCATTCTAGAAAATCTATTTATAGAAGAAGATTCTGAAGACTCTTGGTGCCCATGGCCTGGATTTATTCGGTAGTGCCGTGATAATCCTCCTTTTCCTATGTAGGATTTTTCACAGTTCTGACACTTAAACAATTTTGGCCGCAGGTCATTATTAAAGGTATTAAATAATTCACATACTTCCTTTACTTTGTTGCATTCATCATCTTCTAAGCTCAACTCAGAATAGTCATCAGAATCAGACGGGTGACAGTCAGCCAAGTCTTCTGTTTTAATAAATTTGTAGTCCTTAACTTTATATTTTGGAGGGTGAGAAATCCTCCCAGAGCGAGTTGTCACTTTCAGAGATTTTTTAATCTTTTGCTCTTTTGGCTGCTTCCCCTCATTTACAATAGTTTTTGCTGAACAAGATGGAACTAAAGAAACATTTGAAGAATCTTCTCTATCTTTTGTAATAGACTTATGTTTCTGCCCGTGAGTAATTATTTTACTTAGTGGTACTTGTCCAGGGGGATGTAAGGAGGCCGGAAGAAGTAGTTGAACTGTAGGTTTAGAAGAATTACATAAGAAAAAATGTTGGGATCCTGTGCCTGTTAAAGTATGTATCTGAAAAATCTCAGTATTAATGGCACTGAATCCTAAAGGCTTAGAATTCTTCTCAACTGCTTGAGATCCAGCTATATTTTTAGGCAGAGCTGTTGCAGAAAATAATTCCAAACTTTTCTTCTCTTTTATCTGATCAGACTCTATTTGGAAATGAGTGGTTTTCATCTGTTTTATTAAAAAAAGAAAGGAAAGATTAAAGAACAAGTAGAAAAGATTTGGTCATAAACATTTTCTAATTACAATTATATTGTATTTTGATCCTATACATTAGAACTTTTGGGGGAGCAAAAAAGGTAACAAACTTGCTAATTGTGCAACATTTTAAATAAAGTCCCATGCAGACTACAGATTAAACATTGGATGAATTCATGAACAGATCCATAGCACAGAGAGCCCTCAATTTAGCACTGTAATTGAGCCTGGAATTATGGTTGTAAACTGTGGTCATTAAGTGATACACCACATTACTGGGTCTGATGTTAGGACCTTTTTTTATGATGGCCATTAAGTGAATGCTGCATTTGTTAAGCCTGCACAGGGGTTGTTAACTGAACCCCTTTTTATCAGTGAATGTTTTTTTCCAGAAACCAGTTTTTAAAAATGTAGAAAATTGTGGTCACATGACTAAGGGATACTGCAAGCAGCCATGAAAATAAATAAATGTGGGCTGGTTACAATCAAGTGACTACGGGCCATGTGCGGCCATTGGAATTTCAAAAACAGATTGTAAGTAGCTGTGGTTATTTTAAATGGTTGCTAAGAGACTGGTCATTAATTGAGGGCTATCTATGGTTATCCTGGCAGCAATAGTGGTTTGTCCTGCCTCCCTCTAGGATTGTTTTTTTTTTTTATTTCCAGTACACTCCATTGCCCTGATATCCCTGGAGGTTTCCCATGCACCCTAACCCTAACCACTTGAACCTTTCTGAGCTTCTGAATTCAGATCAAGACAGCCAGATCCAGCATTTTAATTCTTTATATAAAATAGAGAAAAACTGCACCTTGCAAGTCACTGAAATCAGTGACACTTGCATCTAATATGGCTTGGAGCACACTGTATATCCAGCTAAAAACAATACAAACTTTATGGATCATTTTTAAAATGAAGTTTTCTTCACCCCCAACATATGTAAATTCATCTTCATTATCAGACAATTGTACAGGTAATCCTCAATTTATGGCCAAAATGGAGCCCAATTTTTTTTACCACAAAGCAGCTATTAAGTAAGCTTTGCACCATGTTACAACTATTTTCCCATAGTTGTTAAGTGAAAAACTGCAGTAATTAAGTGAATATGTTCCCCCATTGTTTTTGCTTGTTGGATGCTGGCTGGGAAGGTTAGAAGTAGTAATTACATGACCCCTGGATAGTGCAACTGTCATAAATACATGGCAGTTGCCAAGTACCAAAATTTTGATCAGGTGACCCTGGGGATGCTTCAACAGTTGTAAGTCACTTTTTCAATGCCTTTGTAACTTTGAATGACCATTAAACAAACACTTGTAAATTGAGAACTACCAGTAGTAAATTTTGAGTAACAACAAAAGAACAATTGACTAGCTCACACTCAGACATGATTAGTTTTAACTATGGTTTGCTCAATAAGCCATGTTTACATTGCCCATATCACATTGAACCCAAAACAAATACGCCGAATTATAACTTAATACTGTAGTGAATGAACTCAATCTCTCTGTGGGCTTTTCAGTGTAGAATACTGAATTAGCTAGACTCTTATTAGAATCTATTCATAAGTTCATTCAGTTTCAAGTGTTCAGTAATAAAGTACAAGAAACATGTCAAAAAGGAAGAGGACACTGCAGAATCATACACTTGGAAAGAATCGTACAAGGGTCATCTAGTCTGGCTCCTCTTTAATGCAGAATTTCCAAACTTGGGAAAAATTGTGATATGTGCACCTCAACTCCCTGAAATCCCCAGAAAATATGAGTAGAATTCCAAAAATTGGTCCACATATCTCAAAGTTGTCCAGATTGGAAAATGCTGTCATAGGGGTGCTTCTGACAGATAACCACTGAGTTGCTTGTTTGAAGACATCCAGGGAAGAAAACTTACAATTTGTGTTAACCCATTTCATTGTTGGAGAACTCAACAGTTTCAAAGCATTCCCTGATATCTACCCTGAGCCTTACTCCCTTGGGAGTTTTAACCTACAGATTCAGGATTTCCTCTGGGAGGCAATAAAGTCCATCCCTCTCTTCTGTGTGATAGACCCCCTCAGATATTTGATCCTTATTATCCTGTTCCCATTCTCAGTTTGTTTTTCTTTTGCAAGCAAACGTGCCTAATTCCTTTATTCATTCCTGAAAGGACTTGGTTTCCAGTCCCCTCACCCTCCTGGTAGCCCTCCGCTGAACTCAACACCTGAACTGGTGCACCAGTTGCGCCCCTACCTGAACCGGGAGGCTCTCACAAC